TTTGAGTGCTGACGATCTTCGGGTCACTATATTTATGCGAGCAGGCGTTTTCTTGCATGAATAAAATAAAAAGTAAAGAAGCCAACCAGTGTTTCTTCCGGGCATTTTAGTCCGTCCCCCGCGAAAATTTTAAGTGCTACCCCCCCCCCCCCCTCTTCGGAGAAAAAAGTCTGGAAGAAACACTGAAGCAAACTAACAAATAAAAAAATCTTAAGGCGTTCTTGAAACTGAAAACAAGATATGAGCCAGGTTTAAACAAACTTTCAAAAAGCTTGCAAGGTCAAACTATAATTGTAAATATTATTCAATAATTATTGTTATATAATTTGATTACTGATTTTATTATTCTAGCAGAGCTGGTTAAAATACTTAAATATGTTTTTTGCTAATCATGTGTATGTTTTTATATAAATAAATATTATTTCATATTAAAAGCTATTTATTTTAAATTATATATAGGCCTATATATATATATATATATATATATATATATATATATATATATATATATATATATATATATATATATATATATATATATATTCCTCATAATATCATAATATTGAAATAAAAATGGCGGCTCTTTAAAAACTGGGAAATTTTATAAATTGCGACTTTTGGCTCTTCCGTCTCAAAAGGTTGCCGACCCCTGGCCTAGAAGGATAGATTTTAGCCCCCCCCCCCCCACCCCCCCCCCCAGCAAGGCTTACATAAACTTGCAATACCGTGATTGCGTCGGACCTTTGCCAAAGACAAAGGCGGGTAATGAGTACTTACCATCATGTGCTCGAGCACCCGTTTTCCTGAAGCGTTCTCTCTGAGGAACATTCATAAAGGCAAAGAAAGTAGTCAAAGCTATGACCAGATTCTTACTACGTTCGGTCTACCCAGAATCATTCAAACCAACCAAGGTAGTAACTTTACCAGCCATCACTTCCAGGAGGCGTTAGCAAAGCTAGGCATCACTCATGTCACAAGCTCAGCTTATCAGCCACAATCTCAAGGTGCACTTGAAAGATTTCACCAGACCCTAAAAACTATGCTGAGAACTTTTGTTGGAAGTAACGCCCAGTGGGATGAGACTGTTCCATGGGTTGTCTTCGCCGCCAGAGAATGTGTTCAAGAATCTCCAGGGTACTCACCCTTTCAGCTTGTGTTCGGTCATTCTGTCCGTGGTCCTCTGAAACTGATGCAAGAGTGTTGTACAGGAGCCAGAACCCATCCAGTGGAGAACTTTGACGATTTTCACGTCCGTTTGAGAGCAGTATGTAAGTTAGCTTATAAGAACTTGAGAAATGCTCGAGAGGTAATGAAAGAACGCTAAAACAAGATCACTCAAAATCGAATATTCAATCCAGGCGAGATATTCCTTGTTCTCGTGCCTACCATTAACAAGGCATTATCTTTAAGGTACTGTAGACCCTTTACGGTTAATGCAAGATTGAATGATTTGAAATTTGTCATCAACACTCCAGAGGGTAATGAGTACTTATATATATATATATATATATATATATATATATATATATATATATATGTGTGTGTGTGTGTGTGTAACTAGGGTGTGGTAAAGTGAGTTTGTACACAAGGGTCGATGCTGAACGTGACGAACGAGGTATAGATCGAATATAGATGAGACAAGGTGGCTTGATCCATTTCTATAATTTTATTACATCAATATACAGCTACATCAACAACCGACACAGAACAAAGACTTCCTAACACAACCTCACATGACGACGACCAGAACAAGACTAACTCTCAACTATCTTCCTAACAACCAACACATTCTCTCTTACGTCACATCTTTATTTCCTTTTTTTACGCATTCATAATCTTCTATTAACACCACTACACACATACTCTCAAACCATCGACAACTTTATTAACTCCATTCAACTACACACATACTCTCAAACTCACTCCATACACTTAAGTCCATTCACAACATAGGGGAAGTTACGACCAATAGTGGTTGGGACATCGCAACCACCCGTGACCGTACTTGCTGTGCCAAGATGGCTAGCACTATAAACTATACTGGAAACGCTGGTCAGGCACCGATTAGATCTTGACACCTGCGGCGTTTAATAGCGAACCACTGGCCATCACCCATAAAATATCTGGAACTGACCATGGGGTGCGGGGCCGTGAGTAGTATCAACAAGTAATTTACGTCGCACTGGACGAGATTGACAGTGATGTACTGGAAAGACAGACTGATACTTTGACAGATAGAACATGATTTATCGACATTCGGGAATATTGGCAGATTCCAGGGGTAGCCGACCCGACAGTACGACGAGAAACGATAGACTAGACTCTGGTTCTGGTACAAAGTTAGAAGAAACCAGTACGGACGTGTTTACTGTAACGGACTTAGGGGTAAGTAAGATTGGGCTTAGCTGTCATTGTTAGTGGATACGTTGTGAATGTTGTGTATGAGTTGTGAATGTCGTGTATAAATTGTGAATGTTGTGTCTTAAAGTATGTTGTTAGTTGATATCTTGGGAATGTGGTGTATGCATGTCCGTTGGTAGGTTAATAGGTTATTGTAGTGAGAGAATAATCTATTGTGATGATTAACCTTTTTTTAATATGTAAGCCCTGCTGGGGGGGGGGGGATAAATAATATCTACCTTCCTAGGCTAATCTAATAAACTGTACGGTCAGTGCAACCATGGTAAAACCCACAGCGGTTAGGTTAACCCCTTAGTCTAGATAAAAAAACAAGTTAATAAAAAGTCTAGTGACAATTTAAGCGCAATTTCCTTATGCTATCCATAACAATTTTAAATCGAGATAAATCATATATTCAGCAACGTTTATATCAGTATTTGACTATGATTAAAACCCGCCCTCTTGTTTGTAAACATTAGCACGTGGAAAAAAACGAGCGACGCGTATCTCGCCCCTCTCTCTCTCTCTTGCCGCGAGCAGTGACGCGAACTATCCCACGTCGCGACAGGCTAGCCTCCCGTATCAGTCGAAAAAGGGGGGGGGGAAAGCCTACATGATGCTCAGTTTAAAAAAGTAGTAATCAATTTTTTGTGACCGAACGAAAGGATATTTTTGAAAACTTTCTTCGGCAATATTGTTCTAAATTATGGCAGAAATCGATTGGTAAATGTTTCAAGTCGCTAAGTGGTCTGGTTGCCGAGATATGGGCTAAAAACTGCATTTTTTCGAGGTTTTTTGGCTTTTCCTGGAAATCCAGGAAGGAATTCCGGGAATTTTTTTGGCCCACAATCATCCTCGGAACTTGCTTAACATATTTGCTTTTGAAACTAGTCCTCGATATTGCTTCGTTGAGGAGGAGATACGACTTAAAGCTGCGGACATCCATCCATCCATTCCCAGAAATGACGAGTTAATAATCGCAATTCTCCAGAATGGAAATTGCGCTAAAAACCACAAAAAATAAATAAGCTTATTGTTTCAAATCCAAAACATCCTGATCAAACACTAAACAAACAAAACACACAACGTCCGATGGAATATTATGTACCTTCGATGCCTCGAACAGTCTACTCTAGGCTCTGAACACACAGACAACCGTCCTATTATTACGGCAATCGAAACGCCATCTAAAATCCGTACCAAACAAACATGTAATATCAACAAAACAACAAACAAAACAATATATACAAAACAATACATACAAAACTCTACATACAAAACTCTACATACAAAGCAATACATACAAAACACAGCCAATTTGCAAATTTCTGTTTGCGCTTTTTTTCTGTGTGCGTTTTTTCTGTTTGCGCTTTTTTCTATGTGAGCTTTTTTTCCATTTGCGTTTTTTCCGTTGCGCATCTTTCTGGTCACCGGAAGTTTCTGTGGAAATTTTTTTATTTTTATTTTGCAAGAGCGGCTTCCGGGAGGTGGCAATTTCAGTCAATACAAGGTTAGGCGTCCTGCAGAGTTCCAGAGCGGCTATCTTATCACTTGGTATCCATTAGTTAGGCGTCCTGTCTAGCGGGTGAAGAGTACTATTATATGTAGCGCCCCGAGCTCCCATGTGAGCACTATGTCGCCCACGTTCGTTTAAAAAAAGGCTATACACTAAAGACACGACGGGAAACAATAATCTTTCACTATATCGAATCAGGCGTGTTCTAAGGAGCCCAGGCAGGGAACGATTTGGCAACCCGTGCTCAACTATGAGCACCGTGGCGCTTACGTTCGTTTTAGAGAGTGTGATAGGCTATGGATACATTGGGTTGCTATAGTCGTTAGCTAAATTGAATCAAGGTTATCAATTCAGCACGATGGCGCCTATGTTTATTTTGCCCCGAGCTATCAAATTTTTTTCTGAGACAGCGTTGGGCACGCTAATTTATTATAAAAGTTTCGCTATTCTGTCGCTCTGTGTGTCCGGAACGCTCAAAAGAAAATACAAGAAAAATAAAAACTTTCAGTCAAATGAAATGAAACTACCTAAACAAGTTTTTCTTGTAGCTTTAGTGTTCGTTTGTAAAAAATAATGACATCATTGATTCTATAGTAAATGAATCTATGGCAAAGAAAAAAAATAATGACGTAAAAGTTACCCGATAATAAAGACACATTACCACCAAATTTGTATAATATTAAAAGTAGTCTGCATGTAGACCTAGTGTTTCTTTCATGCAACGCTTTTTTGTATAATTAATTTAAATAGTAGTGTATTTTTAAATATTTAAAGAAAATCTTTTATTTTCAACTTTCTGGTGCATTATCACATAAACGCTTGTTATTAAAACGTCTTTTTAAAATTAATTATACATATATGTATACACATACACGTATACGTATATGTATATGTATATATATATATATATATATATATATATATATATATATATATATATATATATATATATATATATATATATATATATATATATAAATAACGCTGGTGGTAGTGTGCCAGTCAGTCATTGCTATAGATTTAGGAACCATAAAAGTAAACAAATCACGTATCGTGCTTTTTACTTGCATTGTATTGTCTTATTATAAGCAATAAAGTAGGGTTTGTTTATATAAGGACTTGAATTTATTTAATAGTTGCCACTGTTTTTACAAGCTTTTATTTAACTCACTTCCTCGTCAGTCTGTCGTCAGTCGTCAGTCTAGACGGAAACGCAGGAGTGAAAATTCGGACAGTTCTACTTGACCGACACGATTCACAGTTGGCACGTGGGTCAAGACATGAAGACAATGCAATCTGAAACAAAATTTGACTTAATTGGATGCCTAATTGATTTTTTATGAATTAATAAAAATTTGGACCGAATTAGTAGGCATGTCTAGCCAACCACACCACACGCGTCATCACCTTCAATAGCTGCGCCATCACGTAATGGCTGCGTTCAAAAACCATTGCGCGCCTACTGAACGTGATGTTCAGTAGGCGCGCAATGGTTTTTAGTCATGTAACTCTATTGTAAATAAAACATGTAAAGTACTGGAAAAAAAATTCATAAAAAACGTTTTAATAACAAGCTTTTATGTAATGATGCACTAAAAAGTAGAAAATAAATTATAGACTACTATTTAAATAACTATAAAGAAAAGCGTGGGTGTCTTCCTTAACATTAGTAAAGGTATCCAATAGATACTAAAGTGACCCACGCTTTTCTTTATAGTTATTTAAATAGTAGTCTATAATTTATTTTCTACTTTTTAGTGCATCATTACATAAAAGCTTGTTATTAAAACGTTTTTTATGAATTTTTTTTTACAAGCTTTTATTTAACTCACTTCCTCTGTCTGTCTGTCTGTCTAGACGGAAACGCAGGAGTGAAAATTCGGACAGTTCTACTTGACCGACACGATTCACAGTTGGCACGTGGGTCAAGACATGAAGACAATGCAATCTGAAACAAAATTTGACTTAATTGGATGCCTAATTGATTTTTTATGAATTAATAAAAATTTGGACCGAATTAGTAGGCATGTCTAGCCAACCACACCACACGCGTCATCACCTTCAATAGCTGCGCCATCACGTAATGGCTGCGTTCAAAAACCATTGCGCGCCAACTGAACGTGATGTTCAGTAGGCGCGCAATGGTTTTTAGTCATGTAACTCTATTGTAAATAAAACATGTAAAGTACTGAAAAAAAAATTCATAAAAAACGTTTTAATAACAAGCTTTTATGTAATGATGCACTAAAAAGTAGAAAATAAATTATAGACTACTATTTAAATAACTATAAAGAAAAGCGTGGGTGTCTTCCTTAACATTAGTAAAGGTATCCAATAGATACTAAAGTGACCCACGCTTTTCTTTATAGTTATTTAAATAGTAGTCTATAATTTATTTTCTACTTTTTAGTGCATCATTACATAAAAGCTTGTTATTAAAACGTTTTTTATGAATTTTTTTTTACAAGCTTTTATTTAACTCACTTCCTCTGTCTGTCTGTCTGTCTAGACGGAAACGCAGGAGTGAAAATTCGGACAGTTCTACTTGACCGACACGATTCACAGTTGGCACGTGGGTCAAGACATGAAGACAATGCAATCTGAAACAAAATTTGACTTAATTGGATGCCTAATTGATTTTTTATGAATTAATAAAAATTTGGACCGAATTAGTAGGCATGTCTAGCCAACCACACCACACGCGTCATCAATAGCTGCGCCATCACGACCACGTAATGGCTGCGTTCAAAAACCATTGCGCGCCTACTGAACGTGATATTTAGTAGGCGCGCAATGGTTTTTAGTCATGTAACTCTATTGTAGATAAAACATGTAAAGTACTGAAAACAAATTCATAAAAAACGTTTTAATAACAAGCTTTTATGTAATGATGCATTAAAAAGTAGAAAATAAATTATAGACTACTATTTAAATAACTATAAAGAAAAGCGTGGGTGTCTTCCTTAACATTAGTAAAGGTATCCAATAGATACTAAAGTGACCCACGCTTTTCTTTATAGTTATTTAAATAGTAGTCTATAATTTATTTTCTACTTTTTAATGCATCATTACATAAAAGCTTGTTATTAAAACGTTTTTTATGAATTTTTTTTACTCTTTCGCATAACGTAAAGAAAATATTAAATACACGCAAATTGCTAAAACATCTGAAATATCATTTTTTTTTGTTTAGATTCCTTGAAAAAGTGGATACATTATAATAATAATAGGGTCGAATAAACTAATTAATTAATTTTGCCAATGGAGGTAATTAAAAATAAACTCAACTCACGTCAAAACAAAAATGTGAATGCGAAATCACCAAGAGGGAATTATTGTTGGACTAATATAATTAGTAAAACGTGAATGCAAATTCTGTAGATGTGTAAGAGGACACTATTGTTGTAATATTATAATTAGCATGGATTGATAAAAAACTATGTTTTATTATTTTTTTCACTGAACGTACTGCTTACTAATGATAATTTTTAATCAACTAATCATTAACAGTATACACGTGTCATCCCTCATTAGGTGCGCAATTGTTTAAGTCATGAAACTCTATTGTGAATTTTTTAAATTTAAAGAACTTAAAAAAAAATGCATTAATTGATAAAGTGCTATATGGTAGGTAAAACAAGGATATTTTAAATACTGTCCTTTATTTATTTTATACACTTAACGTATTGTTTACTAATTATTATTCTATCTTTCGGTTTGCGGACAAGCTGGGGTTTTTACAGTCATTCTCTGAATCAGGCGCGTCTACCTGCGGTATGTTTTCTTTTGTGTTGTATTTGTGTTTAATTTTGTTCTGTTCCCAAGTTAGTACATTTCAAAAAGATTTACCGTGGCGGAGCACGGGTATGCAGCTTTTGTGTTTGTGTTTTCTTTTATATTTATGTTGTGTTGTGTTTGTTTTGTTATTTTCTCGTATATACGTAGTATAGAGAAAGTATTGTAATCGTGCAAAAAAAAAAAAATCGAGATTTTTACAAATCTCGACGTTTTACACCTCACTGATACGGAAAAACACAATTTTGCAATCTTGTCCGTATGTCTGTGTGTGTGTGTGTCTGTGTGTCTGTGTGTAAACACGATTACTTGAGTACCGTTACAGCTAGGTTGATGAAATTTCATATATAAGTATTATATCAAAATCGTAGATCCGTATCAACTTTTGAGCGATTTCCGATAACCGGAAGTGGTACTTTTTCTACTTTGAATTTTTCAAAAGCCTATAACTTGAGTACTAATTCAGATAGATAAATGAAATTTCACATGTAAGTAAAAGATCTAATTCTCTACCTTCTATCAAATTTTGAGTAATTTCCGTTGACCGGAAGTACTAATTTACGCTATTTCCGATTTCTCAAAAAACGCATGAAAATTTATAAAGTACTAATAATATTGCGCACTATTACGCACATTTGGTTTTGGTGCTAGCTTGGTGCGCAATTTTTTTTCTACTAGATTTTATTCTGTTTTTAAAAGTTTAAGTAAACAAAAATCATGTCTATATTCCGAGTTGACATCCCACGTAGTGTTATATTAGAACTAGCTGCATCCCGTGCTCCGCCACGGTAAATCTTTTTTAAATGTACCAACTTGTGAACAGAACAAATCTAAACACAACACAAACAAACGCAAAAAAAAAACACAAACGAAAAAACAAACACAACACTCATAACATAAACACAATTTAAATGCAATCATAAAGGCATATTGCTCACAGTCTATCCCGTAGCGCCAAATCGCATCCTTTCCGGTGATTTTCACCACCCTCAAATTTTCGATTTGGACCCCTGATGAACGTGATGACGCGTCTATAATAGTGCTGAATAGTTGATTAAAAATTATAAGTAATAAACAGTAGGGCCCACATTCAGTGAATAAAATAAATAAAAGATTGCCTTTTATCAATCCATGCTAATTATAATTTTCTAACAATAATTTCCTCTTACACATCCACATAATTTGCATTCACATTTTGCTAATTATATTATTGCAACACTAATTCCTTCTATGACGAACGTATATTTGCATTCACATTTTTTATTAGCGTGAGTTTAATGTATTTTTAAATTACCTCCTTAGTCAAAATTAGAAAAGAGTTAAATTAATTTGATTATTCTACCGTACTGTTATTATGTTATAAAAATGTATCCACTTTTTCTAGGAATATAAACGAAAATGATATTTGACATTGATCCTTTTAATATGTTTTAGCAATGTGCGTGTATTTAATATTTTCTTTAAGTTATGCAAAAGAGTAAACACAGTGGCAATTATAAAATAGCTCTATGTCGTTATATAAACAAACCCTACTCTATTACTTATAATAAGACACTGCTGTGCACTGAAAAGCACAGTATAGTGCGATGTTTACTTTTATGGTTCCAAAAGCTATAGCGATGACAGAAGGAAGGAAGGAAGGACTGACACACGCTCAGCCCGCTTATATTATAGACTAGCTGTATCCCGTGCTCCGCCACGGTAAATCATTTTTAAATATACCAACTTTGCAACAGAACAAAACTAAACACAACACAAACGAACAAACGCAAAAAAAAAAAAACAACGAAAAAACGAACACAACACTCATAACATAAACACAATTTAAATGCAATCATAAAGGCATATTGCTCACAGTCTAGCCCGTAGCGCCAAATCGCGCCCTTTCCGAGTCCCGGCGGACGCGTCTGACACAGTGAATGACTACAAAACAGAGGCGTTGCGACCCTTTCCGGCGCCCGGGGACAAACTTTCGATTTGACCCTCCCTCAAACTTACGATTTGCACCCCCTCCCCTCAAAATTTCAATTTCCACCCATCCCCTCAGACTTTCGATTTGCACCACTTTTGATTTGAAATTCCCCCCGCTCAAACTTTTGATTTGCACCCCCTCAAACTTTCGATTTGCACCCTACCCCCCTCCCCCTCCCTAAAACTTTCGATTTCCACCCCCCCCCCCCCCCTAGCTACGCCTCTCTTATAAAACCCCAGCTTGTCCGCAAACCGAAAGATAGAATAATAATAAATAATATACAATAAAAAATAGGCAATATCTATAATATCCGTGTTTACCTACCATATATCACTTTATCAATTCACGCATTTTTTTCCCAGTATTTTAATTTTAAAAATTTACAATTGAGTTTCATAACTAAAACCATTGCGCACCCAATGTCTATAATGGTGCGGAATAGTTGATTAAAAATTATAATTAGTAAACAGTACATTCAGTGAATAAAAAGAAATAAAAGATAGCCTTTTATCAATCAATGTGCTAATTCCAACAATATTGTACTCTTACACTTCAGCATAATTTGCATTCACATTTTGCTAATTATATTATTCCAACAATTATTCCGTCTTGCAGATTTTGCATTCACATTTTTAGCGTGAGTTCAATTTATCTTTGAATTACCTCCATTGGCAAAATTACTAAGCAGTTTAATTAGATTTTTCTACCCTACTGTTAATATGTTAATAAAATGTATCCACTTTTTCTGGGAATATTAAAGAAAACTATATTTGACATTGATCCTTTTAATATGTTTTAGCAATGTGCGTGTATTTAATATTCTCTTTACGTTATGCAAAATTGTACAAACAGTGGAAATTATAAAATAGCTCTATGCCGCTATATAAACAAACCCTACTCTAATACTTATAATAAGACACTGCGGTGCACTGAAAAGCACAGCATGGTGCGTAGTTTACTTTTATAGTCCCAAAATCTATAGCGATGACGGACGGACGGAAGGAAGGAAGGAAGGAAGGAAGGAAGGAAGGACAGACACAGCCCGCTTATATTATAGACATTCGAGAAAGTTTAGGGGAGATCACTCCCGGTTTATCTTTTTAATTTGTTCTGTTCCCAAGTTGGTTAAAATAGATTTACCGTGGAGGAGCACGGGTATGCAGCTACTATATATATATATATATATATATATATATATATATATATATATATATATAGACAGAGAGAGAGAGAGAGAGAGAGAGAAATTAGAGAGCTATTTTAATACTACCTTTTATTTATTTTATACACTGAATATACTGTTTAATAATTTTTTTTTAAACAACAATAGTTTAGAAGCCATTTCTAAATATCTTCTAAGATTAAGTTTATCTTTCCATTTTCTTTATTGTTTTTGTTTATGTAAGCAGCATTTTCTGCGTTATTGTTGTTTGCGTTTATGTTTGCGTTAATGTTTGTTTGGTTTACGTTTGTGTTTGTATCTCGTTTATACTTGTGTGTGTTATATTTACATTTATTTTTCCGTTTCCGTTATTGTTTGAGTGTATGTTTCCGTTTAAGTTCGCGTTTATGTTTGCATTTAGTTTTTTGCACAAGTGTTTGCGTTTATGCTTGCGTTTATGTTATGGTTTATGTAACTCGACTACTATTTCAAATAGATAAATAAAATTTCACAAATAAGTAAAAGATCTATTGGAGGCGAGCGAGATGACGAGAATCCTTTCATCATGTTGTTGACATGGAATAAAAACGTGCTTTTTTTAGATTTTGACCGTAAAAATTTAAAAAAAATAATTTTAGGCAATTAATTTAGAAATTTAATATTTTTGAATA